TACAAAACGTCTACCTTTACATTTCCAACCCTCACAACCAGTCCTGATAACAATTATTTACTATTGTATCACAAGTGACCCTTCTGCATTTCATTTCATCAGCTCCACCTAGACAGATTGGATAGTACTCACTGGAGAGTCTGCCTTCCTCCATGCCCCCTAGCTCTAGGTTCCCTCTTGAAAGCTTGTAAGCAAGTCACTTCTTACCTTTGTAGTCCCCCACCCCACCTCAATTTGGGTATTCAATGTCCAAGTTGCCCATCTCTGTCTACTCTGTGTGTGGAGGGGGTGGGAGTGTTTCTTGCTGTAAGAATTTGTTCCCTCTTTGGGGTTACTGCGTCCATAGGTATAGGTCAAGTTCATCAAATTGTTTCAGATCACTCTTTTTTTTTTTTCCTCTTCTTTCTTCTCCTGGTTGAGTTCTGATCATCCATTCATTGTGGCCAGGTCACATGGGTACCATCTGCAAGTGTGGGTGTTCTTGTGCATATGCCCTATCAGCTGGTAGCTTCACTCTCCACTCTAGTCCTCTCTGGCCACGCCGCTGCTGACTCTGGTCCCAGAAGTTCCCAGGTCTCCCCACACTGCTAGCCAACCAGGTCCCCATCTGGGTCCACAGAAGCCCACCGAACATTGTAGGGCTTAGCTTGCCGCTTCATTGCTGCTTTTACTCCACTTCCTCCTATTGGTGATGCGTGTGGTCACCAATCAGAGTGCATATTTCTGTTGAGTCTTAGTCTTGAAAAGGGGGTTTGCATTGATGTTTCCTGGGCAAGCAATTTGTTTGTTCTTGTAGTAACAGTCCATCTGCCTCTATTGTTTTGTATTTTTTCTGTAGGTCTTTCTTTCAAGAAGTATCTTCTGTTCTTTGAAGATTTCTTTAATATTTAAAGCTAAGCTTTTTTTTTTTTTTTAGGGAAAATACTATTATTTAAAACTCTTTATTGTGAATTGAGTGAAGGTTTACAGAGCAAACAATCAATTTTACATTTGGCAAATCATATACTTTGTTTCATTATAGTGCTTGCAATCCCCTCCATGTAAAAACAGTTAACAGTATTTACCTTTCTTCACTTTAACTCTTATACTCCTCCTGGTAACTCCTGCTACCTTTATCTTTCCTCTGCCAACCTCTTTCTTATTGTAGATTGCCTTCCTTGTCACCCAAGTTAACATGTGTGGCACTGTAGTATAAAGTTGGATTGAACC